ATCCCTGGAGCACTTCAGTGGAGACTTCCCTCCAAGTTGATACAAAACCATTAATGAGTCTTCTTTCGGTCCATTTACTTCACCCATTCCAAATTCACCTAAATGTCTTATAGCCCACCTTATCCAAAGTACAATACAAGAAACTTTGTAAAATGTTTTGTTGAAATCCAAGCGTATTACATCTTGAGCATTTCTCCTGTCTACCACTTAATATTATCCTGTCAAAAGAGAAAATGGGGTTACTGCGGCATGAGCTGTTCTTAAGGAAGCCACACTGGCCTTTCACGGCCTTTATGTCAGTAAGAGTTCATAAGACCTAGGTGGAACCTGCCTCTAATACAAAATAGCAATCTGGACGTGGGCAAGTCGTTCAACCTTCTGACTCTGTTTTTTCATATATAAAATAAATAACTATAGTACCTATCTACATGGGGCTGTTGTGAGGTTCAAGAGTTCATGTATAAATAAATTATTTTCCAAACTTTACTATGCTAGATAGTGGTCGATCAATATTATGATTATCATTATGTGTTCACAAACCATCCCCTTGATGCCTTCTAGGATTCTAACAGGAATACATGCTAGTCTTCTGGCCTTACAGCTTGCAGACATCACTTTCCTCTTTTTTGAAAACCGGGACCTTTGTTCTTCTCTAATACTAGCCATCAGGAAGGGCACACGTCCAGGAGACATCATGACCACTTCAGGAAGCAGGTCCTGGACTCATCTGGCTAAAGTACAGGAAGGTTTATGAAGTAGAACAGCAGCATAAAGTAAGCCTGGAAGGGGAGGAGAGGGCCAGACTGTATGAAACGAGGCTTAAATGCCAGGCTGGGGAGCTGTTATTTTATCCTGTGGACTAGCACTAGTTCAAGCTTTACAAAAGAGATCCTCTTCTCAGGGGGATTTGTTCTGTGAAGTCTGGATTCAGTCACAGGGCTGTCCTTGAAGACCTAGAGGGCCACATGTGGTCTTAAGGCCTCAAGTTCCCCACCCCTGGACTAGCAGTTCTCCAAGTGTGGTCCTGGGACCCTGAGGTAGAAACTTGTTCATAATAAAACTAAGAGATCTTAATTTCTAATGTGGTAGATAAGCCAGAGCTACAATCCGCGTAACCAAAAGCTCTTCGGGATTCTCAGGAATGTTTAGGAGTGCCAAGAGGTCTCAGACCAAAACATCTTGGAAGCACTGCCCTAGACCAAGGAGTGATGTGGTCGGCCTGTGCCTCAGCAACGTCACAAAGACAGCTGCGTGGAAAACGGACTGGGAGGGAAGAGCCTGGCAGCTGGGTGACCAACACTGAGGCTCCTCGAGAGATGGACAGGTGAGGACAAGCTGACGGGGCAGTGGTTGTGTGAGCAGAGCAAAGACAGACAGAAAACTACGGAGGAGCCTGGCAAACGACAGGGCAAAGGGAAGAAATGAGGAAGAGGGAAGAATCCAAGGGACCCTGAAATGACAAACCTGGGAAGACGGTGGTGCCCAGAATGGCTGGTCTAACAGGAAAAGAGTGAGCTCCATTTTGGACCTCTTAAATCCGAGATGCCCTTAAGACATCCAGGGAGAAATATGTCCAGTAAGCAGCTAGTGCATCACTATTCCTGAATATCATCTTGTCCCAAATGAAGTGATAGCCCACGGTCAAGATAGGAGAATAAAATGACTGAGATGATTAGTAAAATATTAATAAATTGGTGAAACTAAGAACAAACAAACAAAAACAATGTAACTAGAATTCAGGAGGAAGTTAGGCCTAGATATAGAGATCTGGGTGGAAAGACGATATTTGAATCACAGGAGCTAAAGAGATTTCCATATAAAAATAAGATAGTGAGAGAGAATAGGACACAAGAGCATTGAAGGAAGTGGAGAAGGAGTGGTGAGACAGGTAACAAGACAACCAGGAACGGACACTATCACAGAAGTCAAGGATTGATGGTGTCTAGAGTGAAGAGGGTGGCTATCAGTATCAAAAGCTCCAGAGAAGCTATGGAGGATCAGGACTGAGAAAAGGTCATTGGATTTGGCACTGAAGAGATAGGTGGTAACATCTGACAAAGCAGCTTCTGTTGAGTGGTGGGGCTGGAAGTCAGATTGCAAAGGAATGAGAAGTGTAAAGAAGTGGAGGCAGCCAATGCAGACAATTACTCCTAGGGGTTTGGTGGTGAAAGGAAGTTAATAAACCAATTAATAAATCCTTTATTTTAAAGAGTCACATCAAAAGAACAATCAACAAAATAACTACCTTAACTGAGTTTTACTTATTACTATTAACAACAGAAATGTAATCAGTGTCTTGCTTTCATCATATCATCATGGGATCAGTAAACAGTCTATGTCTGAACCTCCGTGGACACTTTAGTTACTGGTAAATCAAGACTAAAACACAGACACTCTGTGTTCAGGGTTCTTTTAGTAGGTTTAAGAAGGCAAAGACTACGTAGTATATTTTAGAATAGTTTTCATCAAGATAACTAGCATTTTAAAACAAGTAGTCTCACTTATTAAAAGGAATGACATTTACTTTCAAAATTCACTTATGTGGAATACCTCATTACCTAATGATGAAATAAACAAGACATAAATGTAAACTGCAGTACCATATTATAGAATATAGCTACGTGAAAGCAATCTAACCAGGAGTAACAACAATTCATATTTATATAGCATATTAAGGTTCACAAAGTGCTTTCCTATCTCTGAGTAAGTATTGCAAGTATCATTACCCATATTTCAAGGTGGGTACCCGAGGCTGAGAAGAAACATGACTTCCCCCTAGTGATATGACTAATGAGGTCACAGGGCAAAGCGGTGAGGCTGTAGCCCTGATCTTCCAGGTCTCAGGCCAGGTGTCTTTGGACTCCACTGATACTCTTCAAGTTCACCAAGGAGCTGCTCAAATGACCAAGATTTGACTTCCAAACAAGCATACTTTGGGGTGTTAGAACTCTGGATGATTGTGCCTCCTTTGCCATATACTTAGAGAAATCAAGTTTTTACAGAAGTCTGCCAATAAACGCCAACTGTTTTTACAAGCTTCATTTTAAAGGCTACATCCAAAAGCACACTGCAAACAAAGCTTTTAAATGCAGAGAAAGTACAGGCTAGTAAAGCAATTTCTTTCTTCCTCAATGTGCACTCAGTTACTAAACATCAGAAAAGCAAGGGTCTACTGAGATTCAAAACACATACATCCTTGACTGAAGACAAGTTCTCCCCCTGGCGGAACTTAAACGGACATACTGAACTATTTCTAAAACGAAGAATAAAGAACATTCTGTTATCAGTGGAAAGAATGCCTTAGTCCAAGAAGAGCATGTTAAAAACCTAACAAAATTAAGAGAAAGACTGGCACGGACTTGGTTGATCACTGCAAGGTAACAAAAAGCTCAATCATTTTGAAACTTTTTGAACTGTGCCATATCAGTAAGTAATAGTACTGATAGAATAATAGCAAATCAGTACTGTAAATTTTCTTACTCTTTTTTTTAATAAAATAATGACAGTTAACCAACTTTAAATAGTTTTTTAAGGTTTACAAACCACTTTACACCACTTGAAACTCTCCAGTAAGTATTTACCAAAATGACTATGTTGCAATCACAGGTGTTTCATTTAAAACTCTGATTTGATTTTTCTACTGGTAGGACATATAAAGGAAAACGTGAAATGATGTCACAAACTCATAGCCAATTTTTCTGTTATCTAAGGACAACAGTGATAGCTAAAGAAAAGCATTTCACAAGCACCAGCCCTGGATTCAGGAGGACCTAAGTTCAAATCTGACCTCAGACACTTACTAGCTGTGTGACCCTGGGCAACTCACTTAACAACCTCAACTGCCTTAAAAATAAAAAAGGCATTTCATAAGAGTTTGAATACTCTTCATGTTCAAGCACAATGCCATTGACGCTACACCGAATAACGTGATGCTTCATGAAAAGTATTCTAAATAAATATAAAATTATACTTTCATAGTCTTTTCGAATCATAAAAGGGTCCTATTTTTAATATAACCTAGATTAAAGATAAGGAAATAATGTGTTAATTGAGCAATAAAAGGCTACTGAATTCTGAAGTAAAGGATTCATTTTTACAAAGGGAACAGTTTTGAGGTTTGATTTAAAGACAAAAGGAGGTTTTCGGATGGAAAGAGAGTTTTATACTAAGTAGAAAGAGAGAGAGAAGAACAAATTTATGACCTCTTGAAAATAGGAAGTCAAAGAGCATGTGCTTGTCCTACTTCCTGGGAAAGTAGATGGTTTAGCCAAAGGACCATAAAACACAAAGCCCAGCATACAATAGTTCTGTGGGGGATTTCTCTGAAATGACACTAAGATATGGATCACAGTAGCACTGGACAGCCAGGGGGAAGGAAATTCTTTCCTTAGGGAAGGGAACAAGCATTTATCAAGTGCCTATTATATGCCAGGCTCTGTCCTAAGTGCTTTACAAATATTTTCTCATGATCCTGGCAACAACCCTGAGAGGTGGGTGCTGTTATTATCCCCATTTTACAGATGAGGAAATTGAGGCAGACAGAGGTTAAGTGACTTGCCCAGGGTCACACAGCTAGTAAGGGTCTGAAACAAGATCTGAAAGCAGGGTTTCCTGTCTCCAGGCCCAGGGTTCTATCTTCTATGCCACCCAACTGGCCTTGGGATAAAACAGGGTCAGATAACAAATACAATACTTTCCCCAGATGAAGAACTTTACATCTAACCCTGCTTTACAGTAACAAAGAAGTATATGGTTGACATCGGCAATCAAAAGAGTGAAGAGTGGTAGGTACATCATTATTATGCACTCTATCTTTCTGAGTCAAACAACTTTGTTAGTTGTCTTGAATTTCCCACATAGTAAGACACAAGAAGAGCACTACCACTGGCCTGCTAGGGAGAACAGTGAGATAAGGACAGGGAAAGGTTCAGGGACACGGGAGAAAAGGGCAAGTCCCCTCCCACTACACCGACAAGCAGCTTCTCTCTCGCATGGGGTACCTGAATCTCCAGTTCGGCGATGTGCTGCCGCAGTTCAGCCACAGCAGCGATGCTGTCTGCTTCTCGGAGACGCACTGCCATTACTTCCTCTTTATTCTGTGCAGGGGGAGAAAGCAATGGAAAATGTACACGTTTCTCTGTCTTAAATCCGTTCTAAATTCAGAAAGCACAAAAAAAGGTGGTACTGCTAAGGAAAAGAAATAGGACACTATCTAGTGAACCTAAAATGTCTTCATGTGTCATGTCATTATATCTAAACAGTCACATTTATACCCCTTAAATAAATTTTGATATTTGTCTCGATATAGTTTTCCATGGTTGCATTTGAAGCTGGAGCAGTCGGTCAAGCTACAGAAATAGTGGCCAACTCATTCTGTACCATCCTCTTGCCCTTCAAATAATAACATCTATGATGGTGGTACTGGTGATAGGTAATAAAGTGAAAATTAGAAAACCCTCTAACCCCAACCCCAATCCCTTGACACAAGAACAGGTTTTGCTACTGTGGATTATACCAGTGAAAATAAGAAATCTAATTCTGAAAAAGCTTTTACATTATAGCCTACATAACATAACATGACAAAAGAATTCTCTCACAGCTCACCCTGAAAGGACTTTTAAATTTGCAATCCCGCACTAAGAGTTCTTGTGTTCTTTCCACAATTTAGTGATTCATAAGAGAGTAAAGTTTATCTACGTTGTCAAAAAAGACTCCTAGGTATAGACAATTTTGATTAATCCATGTATAAAACAAATGAGGCTATTAATGTTAACGGGTAAAGGCATTTACTGTCTAGAGACACTCTAGCGAGACCCTGCCATTCAAACTCTATTAAGCCTCTCACTGTGATTACAAAGGAAACCTACAACATGGAAATACAGTTTTCAAAATATTGAAGTACAAGCTGAAGGTCCCCAGCTGAAGAGCTCCCACACTAAGACTTTGTTACAGAGCAAGCACTGCTCTGGGCTGAAGTAAAGGAAAATTTCTCATCAGGAGTCCACCATTCCAATGGAACCACAGGTCTAGTCTACCCACCTTATGCCCACATCTTCCATATGATAAAAGTCTGGCTAAAAGGTCAGCATCCTTCCCAGCACGTCTGTTTAGTGTTTGTGCAAAAGCACTGGTTCAATTGTGGGTCTTTTAGAATATGGCCAAAACAGAATGTAACAAACTGATGGGCAACAGGAATGATGTTTTAAAAATTACTACGGAGGCAGCTAGGTGGTGCAGTGGATAGAGCACCGGCCCTGAAGTCAGGAGGACCTGAGTTCAAATCTAGCCTCAGACCAAACACTTGACACTTACCAGTTGTGTGACCCTGGGCAAGTCACTTAACCCCAACTGCCAAAAAAAAAAATTTATGACGGGTAATTAAAGACATTTTCTTCTGAGCTTTAGTTTTATTATTCAAGGTCTATGCATGATGTAGCTAGGTGGTGCAGTGGATAGAGCACCAGGCTTGGAATCAGAGGACTCATCTTCATGAGTTCAAATCCAACCTCACACACTTACTTTACAGATGAGGAAACTGAGGCCAATAGGATTAAGTGACTTGCCAGGGTCACACACAGTTAGTAATAAGGTACTGGGCCAGTCTTCCTGGGTTCAAATCTAGTCTCAGATACTTGCTATCTGAGCAAAATGATCTGGAGAAGGAAATGGCAAACCACTCCAGTATCTCTGCCAAGAAAACTCCAAATGGCCTCATGGAGAGCTGGACTGAAATGACCAGACGACAACAGATGCACGGCACACTTTAATAAATTACAATCTCCTCTATGTGGATGCCCCCACCCCCCACCTTCTCACTGCATGTGATTCTTGTAGATACGATGATCTTCCCATAGATTCCTCAAAGAAGATACACCCAACTTGCTAGATACTTTCTGGGGGTTCTTTCAATTTTTCATACCAATGCAGCATTCAGAAACATCAAGCTAACAAGCATTTGTTAAGCACCCGCTATGTGCAAAGCACGTTTACCACTCACTGGTTGCTACAAGTCTAGTAAAAGTTTCCTTTGGCAGTGATGGAATGTTTCACACCTACTTGGCCCAAGGTTTTGTCGGTAGTATGCGATATAGTATCACAATTACTATGTATCTTTCTGGAATACAGGCTCCTTGAAAGTGGGAATGTTTCATTTACTGGATAGTATCCCCAGAGTTTACCAAAGTGCCAAGAACATCGTAGGTGTCTATTAAATGCTTGGTGCCTGACTGACTCACTGATTGCTAGCGACCCAAAGAGCAATCCTGGCTCTTCTGAGGCTGGGCTCGTTTGCCAGATTTTTCAGTCATACAAAATTACTGGGAAAAGACTGAGGTTTAAAAATTGAGGATGCATTGGCATGGTGTGGGAGTACCTTGGGATCACTGAAAGGTCTATGATCCAGATGAATATCTTTATCCTATTCAAGTCTTGACAAGTCCATGTTCTAGCGTAGGGGTTTTTAAATGTTTTTGGATCATGGGGGCCCTGGAGGTGAGGCCTCATGGACTCATTCTCAGAATCATGTTTTTAAATGCATCAAATAAAATACATAGGCTTACCAAGAAAACCAATTATATTAACATACAGCTATCAAAATATTTTAAAACAAGGTCATGGATCTCAGGTTAAGAACCCCTAGTTGAGATGCTTCTCAAATGAGTACTGACTGATCACTACCTTGAGGGGCTGGAGCTAAGATCTCCACTGGGATAGGCCACAGCACAGCAATCCTGCCTCATCTGGTGTCCCAAGTCCTTCCACATATCCTCCAACGAGGATTCCCCTAATGCACATCACTGAATTTTTCCCAGAAGCCAGTGCAATAAGTGGACAGCCCTCCCTCTCTCCCCCACCACGGTAGCTCCTGCTGCTTGCTTCCAGGGCTGCTCATCTCCATTCCTGCTCCCGCTCACTCTTGGGGCATGTCACTTTGGGTAAAATGCTACCACTAGCTTTCACCCTCTCAGGCACTGGCATTTTAGGCACCTGCCACCCTGATTCTTCCGAGATTGTGTTGATGTGGGCTTCGCAGCCACCAAGTATCACCTGGAGAATACTGGTACTGAAAAACGGGCTTTTGGATAGGGGGTGCCTTGTGATCCCTGAAAGCCCTGCCCTGCTGCCTGAAGGAACCCAGACCAATCTCTTTCTCCTCATCAGCTCTGGTTCCAAGTTGCTGTCAGCAAAAAAAAAAAAAGTCCTTTATGGCATTTATACTGATAAACTAATTCAAAGAACTGCCCACAGAATTTCATGTCATTATTTGAGCACTAGGCATCTTTCATCTATCTGAGTTTTCCTGTGTGGATAGTGAGACAATTTTGAGTCCCGTTAGACTTCATAAAGAAGGGGCCTATGAGGGTTCTGGGACTTGATGCAATCAGGACACCATCCAGGAGTATCTGGAGACTCTAAGCACCTTAGGAAGAATCATTCTTCTATTTGGATTTTGCAGAAGGACAACTTCAATGGTACTGGCTCCCCTCTGGTGAACATATGCTTTCGTTTTATGCCTCAATTAAAGTGACTCTCAGAGGACCAAGGGACAGAGTTATTTCTGGATTTGTATGTATCAAGGAACTTTAAATGATCTTCACATATGCCTGGTATGCCTTCTGTTTAAACAGGATCTTTAAGGATATTTTTTGTTCTAGTAAGTTAAACGTTTTCTTTTAATCAACTAACAACAGATACAAAGGCACCTTGTATTTCACCAGTTCCTAATCAATTGTGTGGATGTAAAGACTTGTGACTTAAATCCTTTTTAAATCTTCACTTTGATGTTAATTTTCCAATTCATCTGATGATGCTCAAGATCCTTGTTAACTGAGACCAAAAACAAAAGAACAGAGATAGCACATAACTGTGTAGCAGTGCTAACAGAGAGATGGATAATGCAGAAGCCAACAGATCTAGTGTTTGAGTGTGCTTATTTTTATAGATTTGAATCTACCTGCTCTGAGTGTTCTTAACACTTCAATCTAAGTATCAGTGATGATTTAAGGTCTGGCTTAAGGTGGAGAACACCTGATTTACCCACACACCTGGGGATTGGAGTGCCCCTCACCACCACAGCCTTGCTTCCAGACGGCTCAGGGTTGTCCTTATGCCTCCCCCCCACAGCTTAGCACGGTGTTGTGTGTGCAGCAAGTTATCAAAAATGCCTTTTTATTCCTTCACAACCATTCTCTGCTCTCTGCTTAACTCATCTCTGACTTCTGCTCCATGCTGAGAGCAGATCCCATCATTTCTGTGGCAAAGCAGTGGGGCCTATTTCAAGATTTGTTCATTCTGGCTCCCATTCCTTGGAAAGAGAATAATTATTTGGATTTCAAGGCCTTTCTCGCTTGGCTGCAGTCTAAATGAAGAGTTAGGGGATGGGGTGCCCAGACCTGTGATTTATTTAGCATAGGAACTCTCAATACAATAAGTCCCCTTACCAGGTAAATCAGTATCTGCTCCACAAGCTAAAAGTCTTAGGACAGTTGCCTGGGGTGCTGATAGGTCAAGGGACTTATCCAGGATCACAGGGTCAAAAGGAACTCAGGACTTCCTAGTCCTTGCTCCCCATATTCCATTACGTAGCCTCTGAAGGACAGTAAGGAGCTTTAGTGCACTGAGAGAACACTAAAGGAACAGAATGGAATAGGGTCACTGACACTGAAGCCTGAAGTTGAACTTCTGCAGGGACAGCCTCTCCGGGTACATCCCACCCTGCTCTGGACAGGATGTAGGAGAAGAAAGGGAGGCAAGTGAAACACCAAGGGTCCCGAATCAGTGTGAGGGTAACCCCCTTTACCTTGTATTCCGTCTCTGCTTGCCTGCGCCTTGCTTCACTTAACTTGGTGAGTAAGTCTCTGTTCTCTGCAGCAAGACACTGTACCTTCCCCTGCAGGCTGCTCACCTCTTGCTCTGCTCTTCTTAAGTGGTTGCTATTGATTTGGTTCTAACAATTTAAAAAAATATAAAAGCAAGACAGAAGTGAGACATGAAATACTGAAAAGCTCTGACACATTCATTCTGTACTTACCTATTTTACTATGCAAGGCTTTACAAAATTTTTGTGCCATTCATATGCCAACTGCACTTAATACATACTTGAAGATTTTATAAAAAAAGTTTAAAAATAGAATCTTGAAAGAGAATCAAAAATCCTAGTCTGACTAGAAATCAAATATTTAACTATGAAAGTACTAGAGGTAAGAGATTTTAAAACAATATTTTAGCTTAGTTTCCATTTCTGCAATAACCAAATTTAACTTTCAAAGATACACAATGCTCCCTTCTTAAAACACATACTGTGATTAATGTACACATAGCCTAATAATTAACAAGCACTAAGGTTTGCATATTACTTCATTTCAAAAATGGATCCCTCTAGCCTGATAGGAAACTGTAAAGCATAACACAAATACAAATTCTTGTAAGTGACTTCAGGGAGCAAGCTTCCTCTTTTCTTTCCTACCAATGAGGAAAACAGCCACACTGGCAGAGGCAATAAAGTATCTGTCCAAGCCTGAGCTCCGAAAAAAGGAAGGCACTGAAGAGGTGTGGAAGATCTCACTCTCCCCACCCCATGGAGATCCTGCTCCAGGACAAGGACCTTCTCCCTCCAGCACTCTTGTCACTTGACACACCTTCCCCCTGGGAGCAGTCTGTTATGGTCCCCTTTCCAGAACCCCTGCCTTAAAAAAACTCACATGCTCTCATGTAGAGGTTAAAACGGCGATCTGATAGTGAAAAGCTGCACAAAGGGCATCTTCTGTCAGTGAGGGAGACCCAGCAGCTCCCAGAACCAAGAGGAAAACCACGTTAACAGCATGCTTAACAACAGTATGATGCCCCTGTCTAGCCACAAGCCCGGCATGTGTCTCTCCAGGTAATCAATGTGTTCTGGACAGCTTTCTGTTCCTAACCCAAGTCTAGGAGAGCCTTCACTGGATAAGCTCTCATGACACAGAGGTCCCATCCAAGGAGCCCTTTATTTCCAAGATGGAACAAATCTGGAAACCAGCTTTTCACAAGTGCCAATATACACAGCACATGCAATAGTTACCTGGTTTAAGGGGGCCCCCTGCTGATTGAAGAAAAACAATTTTGAAAACCAAAATCCCCTTTGTGGTAGAATGCATTCCTGAAACGTGGCTCTACACTCCAATATGCAACATAAAGCCAAACGTACTTCTAAAAGCCCCTCCTATCCAAATGTACTGTACCATTACAGTGACTAAGTTAAGTTACCTTAAACTTGGTCTCATTTGGAGAGGAGTAGGATCTTTTGTCTAGTATTTTTAATATGACAAATAGTGTGATGGTGTGGGTGACCTCTGATAACTGTTTCAGAGTCTTCCTACCACTCCTTCTTGCCTCAAAAAATAACTTGTTAAAACCTCTTTAAACATGAAAATATCATAGCCTAAATGACCAACCATCGGACCCTTGGAGAAAACACCACTTGCACAAAAGCATTTATTTGGTTTGCTCCATAGACATTCTTTGTTCATGACTTTAATGATGATTCAGTTTTCCCAGCATACCTGCGTTTCCATTTCCATCATCCTTTGTTTTATTTCTTTTATCTCTGCTTGAGTCTCAGCCTCTCTAAGCCGGATGGTCATCAGTTCATCTTGTAATTCATTCATGGCATTCTTCCTGGGCGGGTCTTTCCATCTTCCAGCAGTCCGAGCTAGATGGCGCTAAAACACCAAACATTATGAGTCTCACAATTCTAGGAAGAAAGGCAATACACCACCTACAAGTGTTCCGAACAAGCAGAAAGCTTGTCCACGTTTGTCCGAGACAACAGACTGTCCAGGGTAAACAATTTAAACGAATAAAATTATGTTCAAAGAAGTTCAAGATTATTTCATTCTATAATTAAAAAAACTTCTTGGTGGAAAAAATACTTACCCCCTAACAAGATTTAACCCTGAAATTCAGGTATTATCATTCTAATCAATTTCAGTAAGGCCATATGAAATGCGTACCGCACCCTGCCTCTGCTGGATGCGTGATGCTAGCCGACACTGGATGCCATATAAGTATAAAGTGTACTGGAGCATATTAGAAAGGAATTCTTCAGAAAATTATAAATACAAGGTTATTAGATTTCTTGGTTCCAAAGGGGAGAGGAGGGATCCCATTCTGAAACGCCTTCATTTGACTGAGTTCACTTTGAGTTCTGCAGGTCCTATCTACCCTCCCCAGCCCTCCCTCCCCCCTGGCCCCCAGGCCCAAACCAAGGCCCACAGTATGGATGGCTGTGTACTGCCACCCTTGCATGCACAAGGTAGGAAGTACCACCCACCTGCCAATGTTCTTCCAGATCCTTCACCTGCTGCCTAAGTTCTTTCAAACCCATCAAAGCTTCTGCTTCTCTCAGTTTCACCGCGATTAATTCCTCCTGAAGACTTGCAACATTATTCTCATCAGGCAAGGAATTATTTCTCTGAAACAAGAAAAAAAGTAAAACCTAAGCAACTATTCTACCCAAGAGGTACTTGCAGCAGAGCCCAAGCTTGGTTTATTTTGTTTTCACCTGCACCTGTGATTTCATCGGCATGGGAAACTCCCTGTAAAAAACCTCCCTCTGCCAATGCAGAGGAAGAACTGTTCTGCAATATATAATCTTAGAAAGTTTCCTGGAACAATGAGAGGGTAAGGGCTTTGCTCAGGGTCACAGAAGCAGTGTGAATCACACATGAGACTTGAACTGGGTCTTCCTAACTTCCAGGTCAGCACTTTATTCACTATATTACTGTCTGTCATTCTTTTACTTTATAATCTTTAATTCTTGAGAAAAAATGCACTGCCCTTTCCTTTGTCCATCGCCTATGTCACATGAGCGCTTGTGGAGTCTGCTGACCAGCCGCTGCCAAAAGGCCTGACACAAGAAAGATGGTGGCACTGCAACCTTATTCCTCAGTAAGACACTCCACCAGCAAGTGGATAGGAATGTGCTCTCTCTTACATGTTAGCTAGTCATTCATATCCGTATGTGTATGTGCACATATACACATACACACACACACACACACACACACATATATATTTCATTACATCAGAAAAAAAGGAGATGGCTGCTTGTTACAAAGTAGCTGGTGATGTAAAAAAGAAAGGTATATTTGTTAAAGAAAACATATATGACTCCTTACAAGAGATAAAGAATGAATGTGTGCTACTTGTTTTTGTTGGGGTTTTTTGGGGTGGGTTTTTTTTTGCTTTTTCAGTGAGGTAATCGGGGTTAAGCGACTTGTCCAGGCTCACACTAAGTGTGAAGTGTCTGAGGCTGGATTTGAACTCAGCAAACAGGTATATTAATACATTCCCTTTTTTTGGCAAGGCAACTGAGGTTAAGTGACTTGCCCAGAGTCACACAGCTAGTGAGTGTGTCTGAGGCTGCATTTGAACTAAGGACCTCCTGATTCCAAGGTCAGTGCTCTATCTACTGCGCCACCTAGCTGCCCTGTGTACTACTTGTTAAATCCAACTAGTCACATGAGTTAAAAAGGAACATATTTTGCTTGCAACATGAGGCAAAGATGAGGAGCAAAAAGTCCTTGGAGCAATTACAGGTAGAAATAAGACACTGAAGGAAAAGAGCTGTTGTAAACTGAGCCTGAAGTTCATGCTAGGGTCAGACATGGCAAATTGAGAATTAGAACAAGATGGAGTTGGTCACATCCACTCTTACCACCTATACTCCCCAATTTGTGATGAGGATGCCTTCAGGTATCTTAGCGTTGACTTGAAGTGGTCACTTTGGACTCAGGTTGATTCCAGAGATTTTACATTACTCTATAAAGCTCTCAAGATGTATAACTGGCATTGAGCCTTGCAGGAAATGTCTTAAGGCTGTCTCCTTCTATATTCTTGGGAGGTGGGGAGGATTGTCCTATAGGAATCCATGGCATACAGAGCTCAGGGGGCCCAAGGTTACGTACTAGCAGGGAGCTTAAGGAAGTAGCCCACCAATCTAGCTAGCCTAAACTGGGGGCTGAGAAGAAAGCGGGCTTAAAAGGTCACACTAGGAAACCTCCACTGCAATGCTTCACCAGTCTGGTAAAAATCAAGTCATTCTATTATTCTATCAAAAGGTACTTAGGGTAAGACCATAAGAGGGTCTTTTTTGGGGAGCTACTAACCCTTCTAGTACATACCTGAACAAAATGACCTCCCTGCATCAATGAAGCGCTTAAAAAGGATGCTCCTAATGTTTACTCCATCCTCATGAACTTTTTCTTGGCTGTCATGCCTGAGAAGTTATAAGATGAACCACTTGTTGGAGATTTCCCAAATGATATTCATGTTTTCAAGTAGGGGCTGATGACTTCCAGTCCCTTCCAACGCTAAAATAAATATAAGATTCTAATCACTGATAATGGTGTTTGAGAAAATCCTCAGAGTAAGTCAAATGTGTTTTGTCTTATAACTTTAGCATTGGAAGGGACTCTGGAAGTCATCAGCTCCTACTTGAAGCAGGGCAATCTATTTTGAGGAAGTTACCACTGTAAGGAAATTAGAGAACGGAGATTCCAGAGATCCCCAAAGAGCGTGGAAGAACTAACTTATTTGTCTGTAACAGACTCAAGCCAGCTATAAGAAAATGCAATCACCTCACAAAATAACTTCCGCAAAGACCAGGGTAAGCATGACACTGACTTTAGTCGATAGCAGAAGGTTACCCTCTGAGCTAGATGTTCAATATAACAAGAACATATCTTTTCAAATCTTGATCTAGACTGCTTTTAAGACCACTTTGATAAGACACAATATATAAGTAACACTAATAGCTACAACAATTTTTCAGCTACCTAGAAGTAAGAAGTTTTATGAATGTCATGTTTTCAAAGTGCTTATCAGCTGATACAACAATTTTAGGAGGCTTGAGCCCTGGGATTGGTGATGGTTCTGCCAAGGTTATAAAACTAGAATTGGCAAAAATGTTTCCCCTATTGTGCCCATCCCTGGTGAACTGATTAAAGATGGAAACTTAGCTACTCAAATCAATGTGTGATCTCGTCATGGTGAGAATTTGCTCTAAGGAGGTAGAACCAGATCTATTCAGGTCTGCCCATCCGGGGCACTTTTGTTCATGTTCTCCCATAAACTCCTCATAAGGAGTCCATCCAATGTGTGGAGAGCCCTCCTCACTTTCTCCTGCAGTCACAAGAAGATCAGTAGCTCTGGCTGTCCATCCTTGCAGTGTGGCTGGCTCATCTGGGCCAGACATTTCTTTGATGACACTCGCTCTGATTCTTTGTTACACTTCCCTCTGTCATGTGTGGCAGTTCGTTTGCACCCACTATGTGTCTTTCTGTTACTATTTTTTGTGATACACAATTTTAACTCTTCAGAACTCGTTTCACGACCCACAGTCAGGCAGTAATACTTCTGGAATGCTGATATGACAAAGATGGGCCTTGGCTGGAGGGAGAAGTCTGGTATCACAGAAGAGGTGTGTAATTTCTCACAAGCAACCTGGCCTGTTCTCCTTGTCCTGCTTTATTCTGGGCCAAGCTCATTATCTGTATACAGGGCCTGTCCCAAGGTTTAAATGCTGCTTATATTAAAGCTGGCCACCTTGCTGAATGTCATAGTCTAAATAACAGGCATTCTTCATCGACTTGGTTTTTCCTGGTTGGGGAAACTCTACTGAGGTGTCATCGATCTTTCCCAAGGCCCTATGATTACCCAGGACTTAATGTAACCGGTAAGATCTTGTCACACTCCATCAGAAGCACACTGAGGACTTCATCATCTGTACAGAGTCCCTCCTCAATCTGAACTTTGTGCTGAACATTCTCTATGATGGTGGCAAAAACACATCTGTTTTATGTTTTGCATGATATTAATAATCAGACCTTTGAACAAGGTTCTCTTGTTATAACACTCTAGGATCTTACCTAACTTTGACATGTGTTTAGGAAACACATAATCATGAGGGAGACTTTATTATTTTGCTCTACCAAATCTAAAGCTTTTTTTTTTTTAAACAATCAACAATTAAATTCTGGGTGGGCTTGTATGTAAAGATTTCAAATCTGGTTTCAAATTTCATAATGCTGTGATTCCATTATTGATTATTTAATAATCAGCCCTTCATCATTAGCTGAGGATAAATAGCTCAAGTGGTCATTTTCCCTAAAATTCATTTCGATACTCAATATTTTTTACTACCCTCAATAGGACTGAGGCACTACGGTACAGCTGAAAGAGCACTGGGTTTGGAATGAGAGGAACTAGGCTGGATTCCAACTTGAACGCTTCCTGTGCGACACTGGGCAAAGTCCTTCATCTCTCTGGGCCCCAATTTCCTCATCGGGGGAAAAAGAATGAATCAATCAACCTAACAATCAAAAGCATTTATTTAAATGCCCTTATGGGATACAAAGAAAGAAATGGAATAGCCCCCACCCTCTAGATGCTCACATTCTATCAGAGGAAATAATATCTGCACATATAAATGGAAAATATATACAAATATATACACCAAGTAAATACAAGATAATATTTTGGGGAAAAGGCTAACTAGCAGCTGTGGTAATCAATACTAAATCTGGACAAAACTCTTTTAAATGCCTATGCATCTCTTCCAGGAGTTCTGAAATGTTCTAGGGCTTAATGCAACCAGCAGTGTCAAGCTTACACGAGGCCCTTAGGAAGTACATGTTGACTGAGTGATGACTAGCCCACCTCCTTTTCCATATTATACGTCCCTGGTATCTTTTACTCTACTTGTGAACAAGTGATAACTGCAATATGCTGCAGTCCACTTAATCTATAATGTATCCTTGAGTTACTTTCAACTTTAATTTCTAAGATCATGGCACTCATGTTATAGCTGCATTGTGTTACCAAGAAAATGCCACCCCATTAAAGTGATAGGTTTTTGTGGCACCAACCAATTTGGCATGAATGAATGAAAATACTGTACGATCTGTCAAATGTGACTTTGCAAAATTTCCTCCTACTACTCCACTCTGGACCCAGCTCACTCACACTCTCTCTCTCATTTCAGTCTCTTTCTCCTCCCGTCCTTCCCCTTTTCTCTTCCTGTTTCCTTCCCTTTCCCTCCCTCCCCTCCCTCTCCTCCTCTTTCTTAACTGCCTCCTTTCTCCCTCTCCACCCCATCTTCCTACAGACATACACAAACATACCATGTGGGTCAACTCTGAGTTTTTCATTCACTTTAGTCTGCAAATATAGACAGGCAGACTGTCTTTTGAATCATCACAGATTTCAGGGAGAAAGCTTCATAGCCTTGGAGGCTCAGTGAAATCATTCCAATACCATCTTTGGCAGGAGCACTTGCAAAACAAGACCACTGACAGAGAATACCCCTGTTTGGTCTCTAGGCAGGACATCTTCCAAGATGGTGGCAAACACTTTAAGTAAATACACTTCTTTCTTTCCATTACTGTCTTAATACTCACTGATTATTAAACAAAATTATCTCCATAATTCCAGCTATTGCAGAATCTTTTATAAGTTTAAATTAAGGATAGAAGACACTAATAACAATAACAACTAGCATTTATATCGCACTTGTTATCTGCCAGGTACCGCCATGCACTTTGCAATTATTATTGTATTTGATCCTCACAATAACTCCAAAACGTAGGTGCTATTATTATCCTCATTTTACAGATGAGGAAACTGAGGCAAACTAGTGTCTGAGGCCAGATTTGAACTCCAGTCTTCCTGACTCCAGGTCCAGCAATCTATGCTGCCTAGCTGCCTAAGAAGAAAACCTTTGAGTCTACACATCGTTCTCTCCAGTCAAATATTTTTAAAAATCCAACAGCAAAGACAGTGGGATGTTCTATCCTTTCTATTTTCGGTGTGTTCTGTTTAAAGGCTGGCTGACCAACTGCGCAGCATTCACAGATTTAGGGTATTCCAGTCCAACCCTCTCATCTTAAGACCGAGGAACCTGAGAGACTTGGAACAAGGTCACCCAAGCAGGAACTAGTAGGAACAAGATTTGAACTCAGGTCCTCTGACTCCAAAGCCAGCACTCATTTGCCAGCCCCAGGTTCACACTGTCACTGAAGGATCCTTGGCTGGGCATGAATTAGCCTCATGGGCCTCTCAACTTCCTTCAGGACAACTAGCAGACAGAGATGATTTTTTTTTCTCTTCAAAAAACTTTGGATCTGAAATACTTGCATAAGTATCTGATAGACTCAAATGTTGTGCCATTATAAGCTAATTATTCAAAGTAAGCAACCAAATTTGGTTCTGAAGAATTTTCATAACTGATGCAAAAGCAGCATTACACAATTAGCATTTCACAGCCACAGGAAAAATGGAAGAAAGGATGAAACACTTTTTGATAAAGGTATCAACAGATACCTGCATCAATCCACTCATGAACATAAGTATGACCCCCGTGGAACACCTAGTTTCACAAAAATACGTGGCTACCAGTACACCACAAATAAGTCAGTAAGAAAACCCATTACCAAGTAACTTAATGCATTAATTGCTGGATTTCAGATGTCACAGTTCTTGTTGTTTAAGATTGGCTTTTTAAATATTGGGGAGTATCTGCACAGCAGTTTTTGTCATGTTGGAATTGATGATAAACTGCTCCATGTAGCAAAGAACACACAACAGATCAAACCACAGAGATACTTCTAGGTTTCCTCTGGAAATAAAATGGCAACAATGTAAAACCCAATGGACTTTTTCCATTCTGCTTTAGTTGCTAAGACATCCAGAGCTCAATTTAGGGCTCAAATGGTATTTAGTTTCTCTCAAGTCCCTGGCAAGACCTCGTCTCTTTGTTCCTCTTTAGACAGCTTCTGTGCTGTTTTCCACCCCACAACTGTCCCATTTTGTTGTAAGGTGCCTCATATCCTTTCAAAATTGGTAGAGTACACATTCTAAATAAACAAAGAGCAATAAAATGACATTGTTATCATTTACTAAAACCCCATGACCTGATGAAATTACAGAGGGTAATAGGGGATCTTCCAAGAGTCATTTTCTCATTTCCTTTTCTCAGGACCCATTCTAATAGGTAAAACCCCTAAAATTAAGTTTTATTCATTTACTAATTAAATGTCTTCTCCATCCCTAGTACTGTGAAATTTTTGGCTTCATCTGAATGAACTTGCAGGATTATTTTGGGGAAAGTACTTTTAAAGCTACGAAGTGCTATATTAGAATGTGATATGACAGTAACAATCAGAGTATTCATTTGAACATTAATATGATTACCCTTTCAATATCGAGGACTTTGTCCTGCATCTCCCTCAGGGCACACTGAGACTCAGCTTCGTTCAGCCTGGCTTGAACCAACTCTTCTTCCAGCTGCAGCACAAACTTTTCACTGTAGCGGGCGCGCTGCATTTGTGCTACAAGTCACGGATAAATGTATTAAAGTTGCAGGAAAATATAAACAATTTAAAAGCTGTAAATATATTTAAACATTTTCAGTTGTATACTTATTAATTCTATTGAAATCCAGTCAATGGCAGGCCCTTTTCCTCTTTTCCCCTTCCCCCTATCCCGACTTCATCTCCAGGCAACAGATAAGGCCAAATATTTCTCAAATCAGCAAAAAAAATCTGATTGTCCAAAGAGAATATCTGGCATAGATTACTATTAATTCATAAATTAATAATAAACTTAATACTGGCAATAATTTCATTTCCTAAAATCATAACAGTCTGCTCTATAGTTTATAGATTATGGAAGCTATAATTTTGTTTAAAACTACCTTATAACAAAACATGAGGGAAAAAATTTAGTCATAATTATTTGAATCACCTTGAATTCCTTAACAATAAAAATGTGTTTATCCTTGAAAATCAAGATTTCCATAAAGGGCAGTGATAGCTTCTAGAAAAAGAAAATGCTGATGCTGCAATAAGAAATTGAAAGTAGGAAATGAAACATCAAAGGTTCCAATTCCTTTTCCTGTTAGCACCTGCTCTATTCAGTGTGACACAAGCCTTTTTATACAATGAATGTCAAACAAGCCCAACAATTATAATGCAGACGAGATCTCACTAGCTGTTATAAAATCAATTTGAATAATTTAGTCACTACAGTTACAGTATTCATTAATTTTTCATTTTAAAGACAGGTGGAAAGTATAATAGTCCTTTAATTTCAAAATAAATTCATATAGAATTAGTTATCTATTAAAAAATTATCAACATGGTAGCACTTACAAAAAACTACTAAATATAAAATAAAACACCTAATGATGAACTGGACCATAATGATGATCTACCTCAATAGTACATTCTGACTTTCAATTAAGATGCAACTTTAAAATGTGAACACACAGATAGGCAAATGCATTTCTATGTATCACAGATCATTCCATATGGAATTTCCTCAAATTATGAGTCTTTTAAAGAAGTACAAGAATGTTACAATGGAATGAATTCATTACTTACCTTTAAAAATCAATTAAAATAAATGGTTCTATTGAAAACACAGTCCCATTAATATGAGTACATTTTAAAAAATGAAAAAATGGGCATGCTATAATTCTACTGAAGAATTTCACCAGCAATAAGAGCTCAATTAGCCTTGACAAACATGGCTCAAGCTTCATTTGCAAACCACTGGTAAAATTTTGCCCCCAAATAAATCTATAAAACAGCTGAAACTTCACTTCAAAAAAAAAGAAAAGATGCTATCTTTTACATACAAAAATGACAACTCATCACCAGTATGGATTGCTATTAATTTTTTTTAATGGTACTGATAGATGTACAAATCTGCAATGCATACATACAGAGACTCTCAAGGGCTCCTTGGAACAGAACAAAAACTGGCTCATATAAAAACCTCAACCAACAATACACTGGCACTTCACTCGAAACCCACTAATCAACTACAAAATGCTGGTATTAATGTTGTGAGGTCAACTTTTTACTACCACATCAGTTGTACCATATACTTGGGCTCATCATTTACACATAACAGCTTTCAAACGTACTATTTTGGGTGGGAATTCTACGTAAAAATGTATCACTTCCCTGCTTTCTCAGAAAACAGTGAAAATATATATTAAGTCATTTCCTACTAGGATGCTGATTTATGCTCTGCCCCCTAACTATAGGTATCCTTCCAGGCTCTGTCCTGGGGGTTTCTTTCTCTCTACATCTTCTCTCTTGGTGATCTCACCAGCTACCGAAGATTTAATTATCTCATCAAAGATGACTCTCTATCCCTCTCTCTCACACACACACACCTCTTCAACTAAATCTCCCATAAGCATCTCAAACTAAATATTTCAAAAATGGAATTCACTGCCTTGTTCAGGCTTTCCTCACTTTTCACTTAGATTATTACAACAGTCTCCAACTTGAAGTCCTTGCTTATGGTCCCTCCCACCCCACTTCCAATTTATCCATTCATGGAGCTGCCACAATGGCCTTTCTATAGCACAAGTCTGCCTATGTCACAACTCTGTCCAAGTATCTTCAGTGGCTCTCCATTACCTCCAGGATAAAATACAAACTCCTCAGCTCAGCATTTTCTCAAAACCCAACTTTCCAGGCTTATTGTATAACATTCTAATCCTAATATTCTCTACATAGTCTATATTCCAAACTGGCCTCCTTGCTATCCCCAGAACTTGGTGCTCCATCTCCCACTTCTTTGTATTTGCTGAGGTAGACCCCAAAGCTGCTTGGCATCCCCTCCATACTTCTCTTTCAAGGTCCAGCCGCTACACTGTCTCCTAAAGGAAGCTTTTTCTGACCCCAACAGTTGTTGGTACTAATTCCTTTACCTCAAGTTACACACACACAAACGCGTCTTCTCTGTTTACATGTATTTCCCAGCAACCTGAGTCCCTTGACCCCTTATTTCACTACTTAATTCTTTAATCATAATCTTTCATTGCCTATCTTGCCATGCCAAGCCTCAGCCCTGATCACCTCTACCATCTGCTGCCTTCATATATCCACAGTGCTTAATGAAACTTGAAAAAATGAACTGGGTCCACTACAAATTTACATTAGGTAACTTCAACTGGACCCTCACTACTGAAAAGCAAATTGTTTCCATTTCCCTAATTAATTCATTATCCCACCCTCCACAGTGGCTCTTCCAAACCTTCTCATCCCTCCTCAAACTTCCCATGGATCCTCCTCCCCCTACTCTCTGCTAAGAACCTTGCCTCATATTTCACTGAAAAAATTAAGGCCATTCACTCACTGGGTGTTCTCTTCTCACACCACCCAAATGTCTTCCCCCACTATTACCTCTTTTACCCCTCACATAAAAAGAGGTGGTCTTTCTCCTTGTCAAGTATAATCCCTCTAAACATTCAAGCGATCCCATTCCATCCAGTCTTCTCCAGCAGACTGCCCTCTCTCTATAATCCCCATTTTCTTGCTTATCTTCAATCTGTCCCTGTCTAGTGTCTGCTTCCCTACTGCCCACATCTCCCCCATGCTCAAAAACCCTTACTTGATCCGTCTATCCCTGTTATCATCCCAAAGTGCTCTTCCCTTTTGTGGCTAAACTCCTTGAGAAAGCAGACTCTGCTCCCTCTCCTCTCACCCTCTATCTTGGGGTAGCCTGGCTTCCAAACTCGAATGAACCTGCTCTCTTCAAAGTTACCACGTTAACTGCCAAATCTAATGGTCTTTTTCTCAATCTTCATCCTTCTTGACTTTCCTGAAACTCTTGGCATTGCCAATTACCCTCTTCAACTTAATATTCTCCTCTCTCTAGGTTTTCTGTACGAATTTCTTGATTCTGCTCCTGTCTAACTATTCCTTCTTGGTCCCCTTTATGGCATCTTCATCCACATCAGGCCTTATAGTGTGGGTCCTCCAAGGCTTTCTCCTAGGCCGCCTTCTCTTCTCCTTCTATGCTATTTTACTTGCCGATCTCATGAGCTCCTATGGATTCAATTATTATCTCTATACTGACGTTCCTCAAATCTAGCTCTAACCTACCTTTGGGTCCTTTTCAGAACAACTGCTATTTATTCATGCCTCTTCTATCTCATACTTGTAAAAGCTAATATTTCCCCCCCCCCATTTATCCCCAAATGAGTTCCACTTTGTTAGATTCAGCTCAGCACTCTAGACTGCCAAGACCTTTTATATACTGACTCCATCATCCACTTTGTCATCTGCAGGAGCACATTGACATATGCCTTTATGTGAATTACTGTTTAAAAAAAATGTAGAACAGTATAGGGCCAAGCACAGAACCCTAGGACATTCTGCTGGAGACCCCCTACCCTACTGACACTGAACTTTTAATGGATGCTCTTCACTGCTTTTCTTTCTAGATGTTTGCCAACCATCTCTTTGATGATCTATACTAGAATTTTCCCAGGAATCCAAGGCAAGTTCACTGGCCTCGAGCTTGAAAACCATTTCCTCCTCTCCTCACCTCCCTATTTTTTTTAAAAATCAGGACATCTGTCCTTCTCCAATCTCATGGTAACTTTCTCATTCTCTATGACCTTTCAAATATCACCTCTTACGTAACAGCTCTTTATGTATCTTGGGTATCAACTTCCCTGTTATCACTTCTGTTCTGTCTGGTGTAAAGGACACTTTCCCATGCAGAGCAAACATATAAAATGAGAAATGAGTAGTTCAGTCTCCTCTATACCCAAGCAAAGGTCCCACTACACCAAGCTAAGGTCCTCTCTCTTCTTTGATTCTTCTCCTTTTCCCAATACAGCTTAACAACACCCTTTTGGATGTCCTTGGCTCCCCTGGTTAGCCTCAGCTTTTTGGGGCTTACTATCCCTGCAGATCATTTTACTTGGACGGCCACACCCTTCTAGTCACCTCTGTCATTTGGACTTGCTTCCATCTTCGGGACACCTGTTTTGTTAAATCTAAGTTGGTCAGTGAGTCCCCCGTGCACCCACAATGATCTCTTCGGACAAATGCCATTCCCAGTCCTTAAAAGTTGCCTAGAGCACTGAAAGGTACACAGCAGACACATCCTGGTACACCTTGAGTGTGTGGGTCTGCACGTGCAACTGGTAGTTTGTATGTTATCAACAAACCTACTGGTTAGCAACAAAAGATGGAACTGTGCTTCATTTCCTTGAGATCTAGAACTTTATCAATACAAAGCAGTAAGGTAGATGGGAATAGACTCAGCTTCCTTCGCTTACAACATGGTCTTTTAGAGACAAGGAGTCTACTGGGCCGATAATACGGATTCTATGTTGGGGGACTTCTAGTATTGATCCACTATAGGTAAGCAACCCTAAAATCTAGAGTGCCCTATTCTGAAAGGTGAGCTGGCAAAGGAAAACCTGTGAAAAACACAGGGAACACTGGGGCTCAGTGCTAAAAAAACCAACAACAACAAAAAACCAGAGGCTCTCACTAGAGCTACACGTGGTTGC